GTATTACACATCTCTTATTATTTTTGAGATCTTTCAATCTATGATAGTTTGGACATTCTTTGAATCAATCATAAGGCCTTCATTGGAAATAATATACATCAAAAAGTCATATTAAGTAGTGAGAAATACACACTTTTCCATCTTTATATATAATCCTACATCTCTTGGTTTTTATAACATACAAAAAACATGAACTTTATACTCTTCTATATTCTTTGAATAGATTAAAATATTGTCCAAATAGCAGACGACAAAATCATCAAGAAACTTCCAAAAGACATCATTCATTAAATATTAAAAAATAACTTATACATTTGTGATTCCAAAAGGCATGACATTATATTTAAAATGTCCATACCTAGTTTAGAAAGCAGTCTTCCATTCATCTCTTTCTTTGATGCGGACCAGGTTGTATGCTTTTTGTAGATCTATTTTTGTATAGATCTTTGCTTGATTTAATTGGTCAAAAAGTCCTAAAATCAAAGACATAGGATATCTATTCTTCATGGTGATTTTATTGACTCCTTGATAGTTCACACACATCCACAAAAATCCATCTTTTTTCTTTACAAATAAGATAAGAGCCTTGATTGGAGATTTAAAATATCATATAAAATTTTTAACCACATTTTCATCAATGTATTCCTTGAGTGCAACCAACTTATTTTGTGATAGGCTATAGATTGGTCTAAATGATAGTTAACCATTTTCATGAAGATTGATAGAACAATCATAAGGACAATACTCAAGAAAAATATATATATATATATTTTTTTTCAAAAAATGTCTTGAAAATCTTGATACTGACTAAGAATATTACTTGATATCTTTTCACTATTAGAAATGGGCGTGGCATATAAAGCAAAAGATAATCTTTATTTTGTGGCATGCATAAAAGCTTTTGTACCTATTAGTAAAGGTTTGGATACACTAGACTTATATATTTCTACTTGACTAATGGAATTTTGGATTAAATCATCAAAAAAATTAAAATTACAAGAAATCTAATCTATTTGAATTATGTAAGATTCTTACAGCATGGTCTCTATTGCAACTAGAGAAACTTGTTTTTTGATACCTCATCTTCTTTAGCAACCATGCTTTTTATTTTGTAATTATATTTTTTCTTTGAACAATATTGAATAATATGTTTAGTTTCTCCATAATATAAGCATAAGACTTCTTGATGTCATTGATTCTTTTCTTGCTTTGTGAAGAATTTAAAATATATTGTATCAATTTGCATTGATTTTGGCCTTGATGAATATGTTTTTGAAAACAGAAGAGTTTTTGTCATTATTTGATTTATTCTTTTTCAGCCAAATCTTTGTTCTTGATGTCTTTCAAATAATCGATTGTCACATGCAATGGCTTTGGCAATAAATTGTTTCAAAGATTCTACCTTTTGTATTGTTAATAACAAGTCTTTGATATTATCCTTCAACTCATATCGAAATTGATTGATAAGGGCTTTGTCATTCCAGTCCACATTGCAAGTAAGGTTTGGAATTCAATAGCATATATGGTGGCTGACTGTGATCCTTACCATAAAGATAAGAGTTTGATCTCTGCTACTCTTTCTTAATCACTTTTTTCAAATGTGGCTATAAATACTTCTAGGAATGAATTCAAATCATAAAGAAGTCACAATTTTTTTTCCATTAAAGGTGATATTTTTACAAAGAGAGGTAATTCACTCTCTTTAAGGAAAAGATTAGTATTAAAAAATAAGATTTTTTGTTTAAAGGTAGATAGTCTACAACCTTTAAAATATAGCAATAAAAGTAAAATAATCTACTTACTTCTAAAATAAGATAAAAATAGTAAGTTAGCACTCTTGTCAAATTTTCAAAGATATTAATCTTGAAGAAAGAAAATCCTCAATATAGTCTTGTGTCACTGAAAAGAACTAAAAAGTCACCGAAAGGTGATATAATGGTAAATTAGAATGACTGTTGCTAAAAATAATAAGACTAGAGAGACTTGGAACAAGACTAAGGACTACAAAGGCATTGATAAGAAAGAAGAAGGCTTTATTCTTGTCTCCATATATACTCTTAACTAGGAGCTATGTGGAGATGTCTTATAGGACCTCCAAAATGTATTGACTATGCAAGACACATATCTTAACTTGTAAGGCAAGTTTTTTTATGTGTATGCCACATAGTTAGCTTGTTCTGTAAGCTATTAATACATGGTTAGCTTTTTGATTAAGTTTTTAACCTATCAATCAACTACAGACACATGTAAAGTCAAAGTAGTATTTATAAAGCTTCTAAAAAACTAATCTAAAAGGTCTTATGAAATTAACCTACTTTTATCTTCTTTTATCTATCCCTACTTAATTATATAGGTATTTATTAGCGTACCTATGTATATCCGTGACAGAAGTTCTTCACCTCTATTATGTCATCTTGAAGGCTCTAATAATTATAATATTACATTTAATTAGTCATCAATTAATGGCTCTTGAGTTGAATTTGCTGGTTGTTGGTTCTCCATCTTTTTAATGTCATAATTACATAGGAATTTACTTCCAAAATTTCTTAGATATTGTTCAGTTTTTCTATTGGAGCTATAATAGGAATCTTATTACAAACATTCAATGTCCATAGTTACACAAATGTCATAACTACATAAGAATTTATTATTTTTAATGGTATTTTAACACTTGCCACATTGATGTAATATCTAAAGGCATACATGCCACAATATGTATTAGCTTTTGTACAAAGAGGTTTTGATAATTTATACATATCCACATTGATATCTTTATGAACATCTATTGCTTCTTGGATGTTATTCTAGATCCACTTTGATAATAAGAAAAGAGCCGCCCATTTTTTTAAAAAAGACAACAATTATCTTCTTTCTTATCTAAGACAACATTGCATAAATCTCATTTACGCCTTGTGGTCTTCAACATACTCTTCATAATGTATGTAAGAAATTTAAAAAAAATCAAAAATCAAAAATCATATTTTTGTTATAAGTCATATACAAGGTTTTGTTTCTATTACTACTCTTTTTAGTATTATATATTATATAACCTTCTAAGTATTCCATACTTAAGTTCAAAAAAGTCAAATACTAAGATGCATTCACTTTCTTAAAATAATTGATAATAATATAAATATAAAAATTACTATTTTTAAATCTTTTAATATATTTTAATTATACAAATTTTTAAATGTCTTTATTATAACTTTATTATTAGAACTATCTATGTCATACAACTTCACTATATAATACAATATATTTACGTTGATAATCTTCAAACATAAAATCCAAAATATATATATGTCCAAAAATGATGACATATAAAAATAAAAACTCATACTTTGTGTTCTTCTAATTTTTGTACATTATTGCAAATAAAACTATAAATCTAGTACTTTAACAATATAGACATTGTTTTTGTAGTCATTTTTCTTCTAGGATTTTTGCAACCAATGTAGGATCTTCATCATTATCTACTACATGCCTTGTTGTAGCATTATATTTTGTCATATGTTTGGTAATGTATTTTAGAGGCTCTTTGATTTAAAAACCTAATGCTATCCATTCTTTTGATTGTGCCAAATTTGTCATATAATTCTTGAGAGCTTTCATATACCTTTCAAAGAGGTACATCTATTGTATGTAGACATAACTATGGATGTATAATTCTTTAGTAAGATGGTGGGTAAGATGAAAAATTATGCTAAGAAATAATGTTGGCATTTCTTTCTCAAGAATTGCCAAAATCACTACCACATTTAAAAGCAACTCCGCTCCAAAAACTAGATCCATAGCTTTTGCAACAATTTTCTAAAATATTTTACTCACTCTTAAGATGATGCCAACAACTATTTTATTTTCTATATTCCAAATAAACATTGGCAATATCTATATAAAAAAGACATGGTAATTGTAAGACTTCAATCTAGACAGTTTTTCTTGTAAAATCTTTATATGTAATTTAGAAACATACTTCTTTAGTGGTTTGATCAACTATAGAGTCTCAAATCTCTTTCTTTTCATCTTTTGATATTATAAATATTATGTTTGATATGATCAATCTTTCTTTCTTTAGATTAGCTATTTATAGCCACAATTATAAATATAAATATTTTATTTGTAGATTCTTCTTAATATCTAAGATATCTTTATTTCAAAGAAGAATTCTCATAATATTCTTAGAAAAATTCTTCTCAAAATACATAACATCTAAAACATGACATTCTAAATAGAATTGCTCAATTCTATGGCAATAAAAACACGTCTATTAATTTAATGTGTGAAATTATACTTGAAGTTCAATGGACATATATCACTTCATGGACATATTTCATTAACATGCTTCACTACATAATTATTGGTGACTTTTGCCATATTCAACTTCACTAATATATGAATGTAGGAATTTGGAGATTACCTTCTAGTATTCTAGGTTGTATAATATGTTGACTCAAGCCATGGTCAAATATATGATCATAAAAACCATCCTTAATCCCTCCCAACTTTAGGTAATTTTATCTATCTCTCTTCATTTGATATATTTCTTCAATTGTAGTTCTAACTAGCGATAGGCAATTTTTAAATCCATTGTCCTTCAAAATTGAATTGGTGACTTAAAAAGACATAAATTATAGCAACTAGAAACTCAAATACAACCAAATTAATTTGGTTAGTAAGTTGGCTAGAAAGTAGCATGATAAAAAGTAATAGAGGAGAAGATTCTTTATCAAGAGGCCTTGTGTTCAAAAAAATTCAAGTATAGAATATAAATACAATGGAGTAGATGTGTTGGTTCTTCAAAAAACGAAGTAACCAGACAATCAAAGATGAAGAATCCAAACTGAACACAGCACACAATTGATGAGATTATGAGACGTTTGTACAATCCAGTGTTCAATAGAGGACATACTTACAACCTGCATTCCAAGTGAAATGATAAATAACGGCAAGCACTACTCTAAGTGATAAATTCTCCAACTAGCAGTCCAGGGCAGCAGAGGTTTACTAGCTCGCAAGTATTCTATATTCATTGTGAGTATGCACAAATGTCGATAAAATTACTTTGATGCACCAACCCAGAGACATCAAGGGTCAACATGGAGACATTCCACATGTCCCTGTTCAATACAACTTTCCTACAGCAGGCCTGCTAATGCCATGCTAACTCCAATCATGCCTAAGCTTCTCGCATGGCATGAAAACATATTGTAGCCAAACCGAGGCCACGAATACCTTTCTCAATCGTAAGACATGGGCAGCTCAACTCTCCAATTGAGTGCTGTATACGTTACATAGAATCTTTGGGTTTCAGACACTAACACACAAACACCTATTTGGTTTAGATGACGTGGTTTACAAGATCCAAGAGGCTGCGGCTAGGCCTTCAAAGCAGCTCTGATGATAAACCTCTAGTAATCCGTTCTCACTATGTGTCTAATTCCACAAAGATGCAATCCACCTCATTCCAAATAAGAATCTGCTGCAAGGTGGTGCCTAGTCTTGCAGAGAATACTTTCTCTTCTAGACCTTTCAAGACGGCCAAAACCGATCAGGTGTCTTAAACCACCTTGTCTAAAGAATCATTGCTACCAGTGCTAGGCCTAGAATTACCTGCACGATCACCATTAACTCTATGATTTTCACCTCCGTCTAACGAGTAGCCATTTTCTGGTACAGACGACCCAGCACAACCATCCCCATTCTCCTCTCCAGCAAGAGAAGGTGATGGAAAGTTACTTTCACTAGGACCTAATGACCCTTTCTTGAATCGCTGTCTAGGTTTGGTTGTAGGATCACGAGGTTCTCTAGGTTTTCTCTCTCTAGGCTCTTTCGGAGGCCTCACTGGCTTAGGTTCTTTGCGAGATCTTGGAGGCTTAGGCTCCTTCGCAGGCTTTGGCATTTTGGGAGGTTTGGGTGGTTTTTCCTCTCCATTTCTTCGTCTCTGAGAAACACGACACAACTCTGTCAGAGTCTAAGCCTAGACCAAGGCGAAGGACAAGATGGCCGATAACCCTAGAAGAACAGCAGGATGGCTAAATGACTTGACCAAGAACACGCGTACATTTGGAAACAAGGACACTGCTCAAATTCTACTTCTCTCATCAAAACCACGGGAAGATGGCATCATCGAGACAGACAAGAATCATGTCACTGACCTTTCTGCCATTAGCAGGTACTGCCAAAGCATTAGAATCTGGCGCAGCATCTGGTACTGTGGCTGCCCCGCCACTTTCAACAATACCTGTCAAAGCTGTGTTAACATCGTCAAGTGAGGCACCACCGCCCTCAGCATCCAACCGTACTCCTTTTAAAGAACCAGCTACAGCCCATCCTTTCTTCCGTCTCCCGTGCTTATCCTGTTCTCAAATAAAAACACATATAATTCTTCAAATTCTATTCACTGAGTTAGAATTGATTCAATACTTATGAAGCTGAGATGAGAAAAAGCTAACTCATGATAAGAGTAAGTACACAAACATGAGAAACTCAAAGTGCACTATAAAGCATGAATTTCTTTCGCAGTTCCAAACTTAAATTGAACTTCTCTATCAAGCATCGTTTGAGTACATTTAGAACCTGCTACTAAAACTCATCATGAAAGATCATACACTCAATCATGTCGTTCGTAATTGAAATCAAATACAAAAGCCTTACGAAACAGAACAACTTACGACTTGCTTAGAGACTTGCTCTTTCATCTTTGCTTCCAGCTCTGCATCGTCCAATAAGAGTGAGACCACCTCTTCTGCCTCCAAGACATCACCTTGCGAAGCATTATTTCCAGTCATAACCAATTGTTGCACAGTGTTCTTCTGGCTAGCCCGTTTCATTATCTTCTCTTCAACCGTACCTGTGCATATTAACCTGTACACTGTAACCTGCTCGAACCCACCAGATACATTAGCATATTATTGGAATATACAGGTACAAACAGAAGCATTTCTAAAAGAAACAGAAAGTTAGACACTGGTTAAATTGTTTAAACCAGGGTATCATACCTCCTTCGTTTGCCCAAGACGATGGGCTCTATCCATGGCTTGAAGATCCATAGTTGGATTCCAGTCACTTTCATAAAAGATAACTGTATCAGCAGCTGTTAGATTGATTCCAAGTCCCCCAGCTCTCGTGCTTAACAAGAACACAAAAATGTCCGACCTGCACACGCATAGAAGCCTCAACTTTTACATTCTCTAGGCGCTTACTAAGGACAACCAAAGAGTGTATGCAAGCTGACTAGTGCATTCCAAATGCTCAAGGTAGACATGGACAAGACAATCATTTCAGCCGCATATATGATAAATGAAGAAATGGAACGCATCACACAGTCGTTCAAATTACAACCAAAGAAAATACAATGTCACCCTAGAGTGAAGTAGCAATGCAATGATTTGCATACCGATGTTGAAAGTCATTAACCATGTCACGACGGTCCATAATGGTGGATGAACCATCTAGTCGCAAGTATTTGTATTTTCGATAGTTCATGTAGTCCTAGACATTTGCAAGCCACCATTAGTATGTACAGTCCAGAACGATTTCAATTGATGAACTTCCATCAAAGATCTCATACACTGAGCTTTTGCAATGTGGGAAGACAGAGCCACTGGGAATTCCGGGATCCAACTCAACACCACACAGAAGCACAAAAAGAGTTCACAATCGAAAAGCGCTTCAAAACCAGATGCGAGCTCAGTCAGAACTAACTAACCTCCAGAATATTAAGCATCTTGGTCATTTGAGCAAAAAGAAGCACCCGATGGTTTCCAGCCCGCAAGCGCTTCAGTAATATATCCAAAGTTTGCAGTTTCCCAGAATCCTGTTTATGAAAACAGATCAATAATTTGTAACTGATAATGACAAATAGTTGCTAGAATAATTGAAATCAAATATGCTGATTGATCGCGCAAAAATAAATTCAAAAAACTAAAAGTAAGTCATTCAAGCAGAGACAACGACTAAAAGTTTGATATGAACTTGTTTGCCACCATAATTGCAAGAAACAGCAGAGTTCTTCATGCAAAAAAAGAAAAAAAGGCAGTAATATCACCAAATTACAAATAAAATTCCTTCGCACAGTCGCACCTAGCTTCTTACCGTGAGCATCTTAGCGAAATCGAAACTCTGCAATGGAGGAGCAGAGCCGAATATTCGAAAAGGTATTGCTGACAAAGGCTGTATAAGACGGGCACGAACATCACTTTCTTCAATGGGTGCAGACAGAGGAAGAGGCATCGAAGGTCCATTGTTTTCCGAAGTGCGACCAAACCCTACTAAGAACCGTTTCATTTTTGGGTTCTCCAGCTCCTCAGTTCTTTGCAACATAAATCCTCTATCTGAACACGATACATCGATCTGCAGCCAAACACGTCAGTTGGTGAGCAGAAGCATCACTACAGAAAGTAGCACATCACAATCACACAACTATAGACAGCTACAAAGAATTGTTCCCATGTATAGTAAGAAAAATCCTTGATTGAGACAAGTTAAGAATCACAACTCTAGGGTGCAAAAACTGCAGACTCTTTTCTCTAATAGGTTGGAAGTGCCGCGTCGCATACCTGTGGTGCTCGCACTGGTAGCATATAGTTGCGTACGGACCGTAACAGTTTGGTAGTACCAAGTAGTCTATCCTGATGTAAAACAACGAGTGATTCAAATGGTTTTAATTCTGGACCTGATGGATGCTTTGTTCTCAAAAAATGTGAATCCGCTCTACTAGGTAACATTAACATCCTCTGCACACATCTCGTCTTTGCATCCCTGCTGTCATCATTATCGAATGAATCCATAGAACTTCTCAAGTGGTTCCCAGCTGAGGACCCATTGCTATGAACAGCTGTTCTGTGTTCATTTAATACTTTAATCTTGCTCAGGTCCCCATAACATTCTACAGAAAATGATTCTTGTAATTGTAATAAGGCAAATAAGCAACTTTCTAAACAGGGTGCCCTGGCTAGGAATGAAGTTTCCGCAGCTGAAAGACCGAGCATTCGAATAAACCCAAACGCTCCACTGCGAGATGATCTCTCATCAAAATCAGTTCTTTTACTGTCCCCCACAGAAGACGAATATACATAGTCTGGTGAGAAAACACTTAAACGAGCTTTAAGCCATTTCTCAACGAAGCCTTGAGTAGATCCAGAGCTCTCGGTAGGCAAGCAGCGCATTCCATCTCTATACAGAAGTTTGGGAATCTGCAAGACAATCGAGCATCTCTACATATCAGCATTTCTGACAAATTGCAATAACTATGGGTAGTACTCTATAAAAGAATTCAGTCCATCAGTATTCCCCATGAAATGACCTTGACAATAAAGAAAAGTATCAGGCCTATAAAAACTAAGTGTATGCGAAATCCATCACAAAATGCCTTTCGCGATACATCTCAGGATGAAAAATCTCTAATGATGAGCTCGAAAAAAAATTGAACGATCTTCAGGAACAAGACTAGTACCTTGAATGACACGGGGTTGAGGCCTCCTGCATAATGGACATCCTCCAACTCTCCAAAAGGAGGTGGAGGAAGAGAATGTGGTACAGCTGCAAAGTGTACTGAAGACTGTCCTTCATTCCGTTCAAATAACTCTGGGTGGTTACAAACCTGACATGTAATAACCAAAACAATAACCACCCTCGGCAGCCTTAGAGCGCATGTTAAGTTGAGAGGAACTGAGGAGACATCAAACCCAGCCATCAGAAGAAAAAATAAAATAAAATAAAAAAGTCTCTCAAAACGATGAAACTACTAATAAGTTAAACCCGCACCTTTCGTAGCTGAATGACAATATTCATAAGATTGAGAACCTTCTTGTCATTGAGCTGACCCCCATTCCCAAAGAGGTCAGCGACTGATATCTTATTCTTGATGGCTCGATAAAAAGCCTGTTGTCGGGAACTTAGATAGCACGGAACCATTACTTCTTTCTTACTGGTCATTTCTGTAATCACATCCTTTTTCACTCGCCGCAACATGAATGGTTTCAAAATTGAGTGCTGCAATGAGGTATAATGAGAGTTAGCAATCTTAATTCCACAAACATCAGTATGTCGCTTCAGCAGAAGAAAATTTAAATCAGCCTAAATCCGCTAATGAAAAATCATTACGTCCATATGTGAGTTCTAATATCCCAACTTGAAAAGACACAAGTAGACTACTTAAATGCGAAGTAATAGTACAAAAGATCATTCTAATATCACAACATCTAACTGAATTCATCTTGATCGAATAATCTATCCCTCTTGCAACTCGCATAAAAGAAACTTAACCCAACCTAAGGAATGGGATGTACCAGGCGAGTGAGTTGGTGCTCGTTAAGTGTTCCACCATGCTCTGCATGTCCTTCGATCCTGCACCCAAAAATATGCAGTTGTAGGTCAGCATAATCAAAGAGTTAAGACATATCAAAAGGTTAAAATTTAGATTCAACAAACTTCAATCCTCTTAACGCTACTTTTATAAAATCACCAGATACGAGAAACATGATATATCCATTGAATATAAAAATAGAATACAACCAAAACAGTCACCACAAAAGTTTTATACATCTAATGCACGCTTAATCCAAGTACAAAGTTACACAAGCTCTCTGCCACAAAGATAAAGCATACGTCATACTGAACCTATCCTTGCCAAAATAAGAATGGCAGCAACCATATTAACATCATCGCTGAGAATATGAAGTTTTAACACGTGTATTAAAAGAAAGTTCAGTGTTTACCCCTTCGAAAACCATTCATTGAACTGATCATGGCTATCAAAAAGAGTAGGCATGATAAAATGCAAAAGGGCCCAGAGCTCGGCCATACTATTTTGAATGGGCGTTCCCGTCAAAAGAAGACGATTTCGACAGTTGAAACTAAGAAGGGTTTTCCATCGCAAACTGTAACATTCCAATTAGAACACATGTAAGGGTATGTTAAGGATCATAACTACAGCAACTCCAATCATGTTTGGACACATGCTCGTCTCTGGAGACTGCCATCATAGGACCTTTGACGAAAAGACCTTGACCACAAACAAGTTGGAAGTGGACAAGCATACAGTCACGATGTACCAGAATGCCATATCGAGGGTTGACTTTAGATATATTTCGTCACAATCAATTCCCACTGCACAGTGACACCTCACCTGCTGGCGCTTTTAATTGCCTGAGCTTCGTCAAGGACCATGTATTGCCATTTCACGCGTCGAAAGTATTTCTCATCCGACACAAGAAGTTGATAGCTTGTAATTAGCACGTGAAATCCTGCTTCCCTGAAATACGAAAAACCCATCATAAATTTCTTGTCACAAAGGCCGTGAATTCTCATTCCAAATCACATGAAGAATAAATCCATCAATAGTTCAGTCCTTGCCTGCGATAAAGCCGATTAGGATTCATGTTTTTTCGAAGCACAATCCTTTCATTTAGTGCTCCCCAGTAAGGAAGGATCCTCAAGTCAGGGCAAAAACGGTTCAACTCGTCTGCCCAATTGTTCAGAACAGATGCTGGCGCCACTACTAGGAAAGGACCCCATATGTTTTTCTCCTGCACAGCAGGTCACGACACAACATAAAAATCTGCGTGCAAATTTCATTCGCCGACACTTCTCACATTGTGTTTACAAATAACGAAATTCTGTATGACAGATTCTGATTATAACAATAATAATAATTAATTGAACTAAACGTATTCATTGTGAATCAAGATCATTACCTCCGCTAAATGTCCAAGAAAAGCCATAGCTTGAATTGTTTTGCCAAGACCCATCTCGTCTGCCAGTATACCATTTAGGCCCTGGTTCGAACAAGACACGATCAGTAGACAAGCAACAAATGTAGATAAGAGAGAATAAAACAGCTAACTGTCTGCAAAATTCCAACCTGAACATTTCAAAAACGACGAAGCCAAAATAACACGAGTTAATACAGCAAAGATATTCAGGATAGCACTCCAGCACATAACAAGTTAGCTTGTAATAAATTACACAACCCAGACTTCGAACCTGTTCATAGCAATTAACAAGCCACTGCAAACCCTTTAGCTGATACTCTTTCAAAATGCCTTGGAACATTTTGGGCTGCTGAACGGAGGAAGTAGTTGGCATTGTCGACCTACGTAACCATGATAAGAAGAAAAAGTTAGAGAACACAAATAACAATTCCAGCTGTGCCCATTGACTCCTAAACTATGTGAGCTTTTTAACAAATTCAAGCTAGAAGGTAATAGCCAGAGTGCAAAACAGCACGTACGGGTGTAGAAGATCCATGTCTTCAGCTCCTTCACCCGCCTCATCTCCACCAGCGGCTGTACGAAGCCTTTCACTCTCACTATCAAAATCATTTGTTCGATTTCTCTGCTGAGCAGCAGCTAATTTAGCTGCTCTCACGGCTTCCTCTTTCAAAGCGGCCTCCTCTTCAGCATCCTCGACACTCAGAGAACCTTCCTCCGAATTCATATTCGTATCAAGATCACGCAGAGCATCCTGGGAAGCTTGTGCAGCAGTCGTGTTAGACGTCTTGTTTTGCATAAAATGACTGTAGAGCTCCGTTTGTGTGAGAAGAAAGTTGAGTCGCTGCTGTTGACGCTTAGCTTCCCGGAGCTCTTGGTCACGTTTGAGAGCTTCAGCAGCTTCCTTCTCCTCCCTTTTCCTAACTTCAATCTGGGCCCAAGAGAATTTCAAACCCATCAACAACTCATCAAAAACGCACGTAAAATAGAAACCGCAAACCAAACCCATTTGCATCGAACAACATGTAACTATAATCACTGCAGGGCACAATCAATCAGTGGTGTATAAAATTAGACAACATCGAAATCGAGCGGAAGAAATCACCTACAATCAACAAGATCACAAATGCTCAATATATAAATCTTCAAAGGCAGAACACATAATGCAAGGTATCATATTCTTTCGTACTTAGATTAGTTTCGCGGACTATGTAATCGCCCATCCAAGGTAATACAACAAATAAAAAGCAAAGAATGCTGAGAACTACAGACCTGTTCTTTGTCCCACTTCTTCCAAAAAATGATCATATCACGAGCCAGCCTCCTCGTTCTGACGGGAGCAGCTTTCATTACTTTCAATGACCGCACATTGCGACTTTTGACCTAAGAACCACAGACTAGAGAGGTTAACAATCACCCTACATTCTAGAATAAATTTCAAATCCCTACATTCAATAAAATTCTAAAATAAACGTTCTTAAGAGATGGTGTCACTTTCGTTGTGCAAATAACTCCAAAATTGAGAAGCAACGAATGAATCAGAATTAATCTGACGGTAGGTAATCACATCAGACCAAAGATTACCATAGCCGCCTCATGTCTTACCTCTCTTTGGCAGATTTCTGCTACTCGCTTTACATCTTGTATCTGCTTTTTGTAATAGGCTACAAAATACTTGTGATGCCTCGGCAAATCTTTTCTGACCAGATTCACCCAATACCTTCCGATTTTCTCGGAATCTTCTAATGCTACCTCCTCGGGGTCTCGTTTCACAGGTTCAATCTTGGGCTTTCTTCGCTCCACGATCTGTTGCATGTCATGCAAGTTGTTATTTCCGAATCATATATCCCTCCTAATAAAAGAATCTGAATAAACACAGAGCGTTAGTAAACATGGTACAATACCTCATAGCCGTCGCCGTGTTCAAGAACTTTCACTTCACACCGTCTGCTTTGACCACTGTCGGTTGATATTTGACGATATATGACTAGAGATTCGCCCAGAGACCCAACCTCAGAAGTAACGCCCACTTCTTCATCGTGGTATTCCACTGGCGGTGGGTTCATCATCACACTTGAGTCGATCACCTAAACTTTAAACGACTCCGTCAAAAATTGGTATTCAACCAGACTTTACAAAACGCAGAACTACCTAAAATCCACGGGAAGGCGTATTGTAGCTACGCAAATAGGTGTGTAGTTTCACGAGGAAGAGAAGGGACCACCTGTAATCCGAATCTTCTCTTCTCAAGCAACCTCCGCTTATTTTCCTTGTCAAAACATTTACCCCGGCACTCCCCCATCTCATACTGTTTTCGCCATAGCTGTGCCCAGGGATCCGCATCCATAATTGCGAAAAAAGCAGTTGCTTTGAGTCGGCCATACACAACCTTCTCTTCAATTTGCAGTGCGTTAAAAGGAGGAAGGTGAAGGGACAGAGCGAGTTCGTCATAATACTGAGGAATTTGAAATTCAACGCCATCCTCTAAGACCAAATAAGTACCCGGTCCTTTCTCCATGTTACTAGGAAGTGATGCAGCACTCTTTAAATGAAATGCTTTCTGATGCGACTGAGGCCGTTGTGGTCCTATTTCGTGATCAGAACCTCCAGATTGTTCGTGATAGGAACGTTCTTCAGATTGATCCCGATAGGAACCACCTTCAGATTGTTCACGATAAGAGTGCTCGTCAGAATGCTCGCGATAGGAATCTCCTCCAGACTGCTCATGGTAAGAACCCCCTGCGGATTGCTCAAGATATGAGCCCCCTTGATAGTGCTCTCGATAGGAGCCTTCTGCGGAAGGCTCACGATATAAACCTCCGCCAGATTGATCATGATAAAAATCTTTTGCAGGTTCGTCATAGGAATCACCACGATTGGGATGGCTCTCTTCATAGTAATCCTGACGAACATCATAATCATCTTCTTCTTCCTCCTCATCATTGCTGTCCGCATCATGTCTGGGGGCAGAATTAGAACCTGCGTATGCTTCTATTGGCACTCTCTTCCTCTTCAGGGTCATTTCAGGCCGAATCACAGCGTGCCTTTCAGCCTCCAGTTCAGCGTGTCCATTGATTCGCCAGTCATCTGAAAATCCAGATTAATCATCAATCATCGAAATTATTCGGGGCAAGAAGGAACAACATCGAAAAAATTGAAAGCCCGCAAAACTCCGAACTCCGCGACGACAACAGAAGCCCAAAAGCGCCATTATTGAATACAGACCCTAACGAAAAATAACAATTAAGACCAATCAAACCAAAAACATAGCAGTATTTATTCGACGCTGAATAAAACGCACAAACCTTGGCTGTAGTCGGTTTCATCAGAAACCTGACTCCGACTTGGAGAATCGTATTCCTGCGCGGGAGATCCATTCTCCGGCGACCGCACCCACATTGTGTGCAAAAACTGATGCTTACACTCCACAGCCACTTCTCATTCCCGCCCTCAAACAAGCAGCCCTCTTCCACTTGGCTTTCCACCTCCCCTCGCAACCGGCGCAAAACGCTGTTTGCCACTACTTCCCTCAATGTCGAAATCCAGTGCTGATCACCTCTGCACTTCCCCTCCGCCCTTTTCAATTCCCTCGAAACCGCTCACCTGTCAGTCAAAACCCTAGTCACCAACCTAAAATAATCTCCAAGCTCTCTCGCAAACACACCACCCATTCCATGCTATAAAAGTCCGAGATTGCGTCCAGAGGCACAGACGCGCCAAGTAGCCTCACATTTGACTCTCGCCCCAGTGATGTCCGCCAGCACATGAACGAAGGAGCAACATCCAGAGCGCGAGGACAAAAGAAGACACAGTCTAGGGTTTGGAGCAGAGAAGATTAATTGAGATTGGGGTGGAGGGTTGGGTTGAGGTCGGGGATGGGAAAAGTTACAGGGGGCACAGGGCGTGGCAGCAGTAAACAAGTTGATGAGGTCAGGGAAGAAAAGCGGCGAGGGAAAATAGAGTGAGTGCGGTAGCAGAGAAGGAGGAGCTTGGCATTGGTTGCGGGTGGTGGTTTGATGGTTGTGTCCATGGCGGGGCATGGACATAAGCAAGCATGCGAGCAAGCAATGGAGGAGGAGGAGGGAAGGCAGGCCAAGCTTGGGCTTATTTGCTTAGCTGGTCCTTCATTTCCTCCCTTCGTCCCTTCCTTACTTCCTCTTCTTCTTCCTCCTCCTCGTCCTCCTATCTTCTTCCTTCCAGCAGGCAGCCAGCTCCGGGATGCCATACCATGCCATACCCTCCCTGCCTGGCTTGTTACACTAAAGTCGAGGCTCTCAAGGCTCCACTGGTAGTTGTGGTTCTTCCCTCTTCCATCTCCCTCCCTCTCACTCCCTCTCACTCCCTCTCTTCTCTCTCACTTGTTTCTTTCGCCCCTTTTGGAATTTTAGGTGCCGCGTTTGCCTGCGTGAGATCATCATCGCCCCCCATCGCCTCCACCTCTCCACCTTTCTTTCCCTTCCCCTTCTTCCCTTCCCTCTCTCTCCTTCCCTCTCTCTCCTAGGTTCCCCTGCTCCTTTCCTTCCCTCTCTCTCCTAGGTTCCCCTGCTCCTTTCCTTCCCTCTCTCTCCTAGGTTCCCCTGCTCCTTTCCTTCCCTTTTCTTCCCTTCGTCTTGCTTGCTCTTAGCGTCTCCCTGACCCTCTCCCTGCTGACTTGGCGCATCTCTCAGCCGCCTGTCTACGTGGCGGCGCGCCTTGCCGAGGTGGCGCTCCGGTGCTGAGGCTGGCTGGCTTGCATGGGTTCGTTTGGGATGGTCCCCCCCCCTCCTCCCCCTCTTTCTTGGGCCCTCCCTTTTCCATGCTTTGGAAGAGCCTCACCGAATACCAGACATGAGCATTCATTGCTGATTTTCATGCGCTTTCATGCTTATCCAAGTTCATCTCATTCTACAATTTCATCATAGTTATTGCATAAGTTGTTCAAATTATCCTTTATGAAACTTAATTTGATGTCTCCAACTAATGTAGTCACATATAATTACTAATAAGCACATAGATGACAAAAAATTTGATAAAAAATATTTTATAATTTTCTATAAAAAAAAAACGACGTGAAATTAATTGTAACATAAATTCATGTTTGACATAATAGGTATTATTTTTAGTATTTAATAGTCAATAATTCTAAGGAATTTTTTATTAATCAAATTGATACATAATTGTTTGCAATGGGAGAATCATCATTATTTTAACTTTTATAAATGTTTGTTAATCACTTAAAAAATGAATATGGGGATTTTAAGCATAACCAAATACAACACATTCAAGACTTTTGATGTAAAAAAAAAAACACCTCACATACCATGTACACTCATTTGGCTCAAAAATAATTTCAATTGTCCTAAGAAGAAGAAGGCCCAACATATTAAGAAGTCTACGAAAATAAAAGAAAAAAATGGCTAAGGTTTGAAATAAATCTTAAAAATAAGTAATTAAAATTTATTCATTGTAGTAAATTTGATTGTGCTTTGAATGATTGCTTTATCTTATATCCAAATAAGTGATATGTTTAGGATAAGAAAAGTGTACTAGAAGCTAAAATTATTAAAATAAATAAAAGGTTTAACAATGTAAATTTAATAGGCTAAATTACTAGATTACATGTAGATTTTAAAATTAGAGCAAATTCTTCTACTTAAGATATTCATGAATTTAGAGCATCAAAACAAATGATAGTTGCAACTACTATCTATATCCAAAAAATGGCAAAAAAAAAAATGGCATGTATTTATTAAGAATATGAATCTCAAAGAACTAAAAGATTAATATACTCTTATGTCACTGAAAAAGACTATGAAATCATTTAATGGTGGTATAATATTATACTAGAATGGATATTACCAAAGACAAGAAAACTTGAAGGTTTTGAAATAAGACTAAAGACTAAAAAGATATACGCAAGAGTAAAAAAGACTTTACTCTTGTCTTTATATATACTATTTAACTAGGAGCTATGTGGCAATATTCTATAGAACCTTCAATATGTGTTCAACTTATAAGACACATGTTTAATTTATAAGATAATTTTTTTATATGTGTGTCATTCAGTTAGCTTATTTCACAAGTTATTAGTGCATGCAATATGTCGCTAATTTACTGGTCAAGTTTCTAATCCATCAATCAACTATAAATAGAAGTCTATGAAGCTTTGCCACAAAATAATATCAAATCTACATACATTTATCTTCTACCTAATACTTCTTATCTAAATAAATATGTATATCTATGACATTATCTCCTATTTCTAGAGATGAATTCTACAAGGAATGACAATCGCATGTTAAGAAAATCCAAGATACAAAAAATTATATTTAATACATATTTTGATCTTTGTTCTCTTTGAAAGTGGTTGATAGGTCCTCTCTATTATGGATACACTATACAAGAAATCAAATAAGAAATTATACAAAAGAATTTCAACAAAAAAACCAACAAAAATTTGATTAAATCAGATAAATAAAAGATCAACACTAAGAAAAATAAGCTAAAACTCCTAAAGATGTATTATCAAGACTAATAATCCTCTCAATATTGACTCAAATATATACTCGGTATTAGGAAGCTTCTCAAAAAAAATTTATGTTGCTTGAAGATGAAGCAACCTTAAAAAACATCTTAAGAAGTTTCCATGTTGCTTGAAGATGAAGAAATCAGAGAAAGCTTCTTGAGAATTTATCATATTGCTTAAAGATGAAGCAACATGAAGAGGCTTTTTGAACAACTTTCTTAATCTTTTTAGAATTTTTTTAAATCTATTAGAATATTCTAAAAAAACTTTATAAAATATTTCATTAGAATATTCTAAAAATCTTTTTGATTCTTGTAAAATTTAATAAAATATTCTAAAAATATTTCTAAAATCTTCTTATTATTATGTGTATCGTTATTTTTTTTAATTCCAAGTTCTACAAAGAACATTCATTTCATATCTAATTTCTTCATTAAATATAATATTCTAGTTGTAGCTTTACAAAAAAGTCTATTTAAAACAAAGACAAGATTTTAAAGATAATTTTGATGAAATTCTTCTATATTTTGTAATAAGCTAATTATATATTTTATTAGTTTCTATAAAAATTCAATGATATTGTAGCTGCATTAATGAATAAAATATTCTAATTTGCTTCTTCTTTATCAAAAATCAAGAATCTTTTCTATTTTATATTCTACATGATTATCTAATTCAATGCAAGGTAGTAATGGTTGTATTCTTTCTAGAATAGTTGATTCAAAATAAGCCTCCAAGAAAAAAACATGAAAGGTTGGATGTACCTTCATAGATATAAGTAGTTCCAACCAATAAGCCATTAAATTGATTTATTTCTCAATACAAAATAGCTCCAATCTTTGATAATCTAACTTATTGTAAGGTCAATTGGTCTTGATATTTTGTCAAAGAGGCCATATTTTATTTCCAACTTAAAAAAATAGGGATTTGTTTTCTAAATTCATCTCAAAATACTTTATAAGAATCTTGAGCTACTCGTAAATAGAACTTCAAAGTTGTCTAGAGTTGTTGCAATTGTTTTGTAAGATCTTCAACTACTAGATTTTCATCCTTTGATATACCTAACAAATCAAGCTTTTGATGATAACTATTATTGGAATAAGATGGTATTTATTGAGTCAAAGCATGAAGGATATTATTATAAATAAATTCCACTAAAGATAAATATGAGGTCTAATCATCTTATTGATAATTGATAGTACATTGTAAATACTACTTCAAGACTTAATTTATTTGTCTATTTGACCATCTATTTGAGAGTGAAAGATAGAAAAAAAATTTAATATCCATCTTTAATATCTTGAAAAAAAGATTTTTATGACTTTGATATAAATTGAGACCTTCAATCAAAAACGATGTCATTAAGTAGGCTATGGTATCAATATATATATATATATATATATATATATATATATATAATAAAAAAAAATCTTGTTATTTTTATTTTTTAAAGTTATTTTTTTACATAAGATAAAATATGCCATTTTTGCAAGTCGATCCACAACAATGTAGATAGCATCAAATATAGTTGATGGCAGCAAATCAATGATAAAATACATTGATATTAAAGACCATGGTTGCTTTAAGTTTAGTAGTAGCTATAGAAGTCTATAATGACAATGTTAAGAATTATTGGATCTTAAATAGATGTCACACAAGAAGACAAAGTCTTTTATGGTCTTTCATATTTGAAGCCACCAAAAATCTTAAGAGATAGGTTTTAATGTTTTCTTAAATCCAAAGTATCTTGTAGCTATAAAATCATAATAAGATTGAAGAACATGAAGTTGCATTAGTCGTTTTAGACTATATAAACAATCTTTAAATTATAAAAGGTCTTCCACAAATTTAAACTTATCATTATCAAGGTACTATTTGATATTACAAACTAATTAATCTATAGCTATTGTTGTACAAATTTATTCAAGAAATCTTAAATCAACATGTATAACCATAAAAATAGTACACAAACAAAATTACTTTGGCTTCAAAAAAGTGACATATTGGTGATTAAATGCTATTTTTTTAGTCTTTGGAATAAAATATGATCTCTTTGATAAAATGTTTGATAGTCTTTATTATTTTCTTGGTCAATATACAATCACAAAATCAAAACAAGATAATGACATATTTCAATGAGCTTGGCGACAATTTAAAATCCAAGCTCGCATGAAATACTCCAAATTCTTATTTTTTATATATATATATATATATATATATATATATATATATATAATTATAGGATGTATAGCATCTTCTATAAGTAATGCCATTTTTGAAAAGAGTCTATAATTGTAAAAAGTTCTTTATTGTATATTTCATAATTGATCTTCATAGCTGAAAATTTTGTGGAATAGAATGCAACTAGGTAGAACTTTGCATCATTTTTTATCTATGATAGTACAACTTCTAATAAAAAATTAAAAGCATTATTTTTCAAATAGAAGGCCTTCATGAAATCTAGATATAATTAAATTAGAGTTGTAGTAAAAGTTACCTTCAAATCTTGAAAAGTCTTTTGTACTTGATGTCTCTTTTCTAATTTATCTTTGGATGTCAATCAAGTGAGAGGAGCAATAACTTGGAAGTAATTCTTGATAAATATCTAATAGAAATTAGCAAATTTAAGAAAATTTTATGCATCTTATATTGTCTTTGGAGTTGTCCACTTCATGATAGCTTGATTTTTTTTTAGATCCATCAACGAGCCTTCATTAAATATAATATATCTAAAATATTTTACTTTTGATTGATAGAATACATATTTTTTTAATTTGACATATAATCTTGTATATCATAATTTTTATAAGACTAACCTTATATGTTCTTCATATTTTTTAAGAAACTTTGAGTAGATTAAGATATCATCATGATAATAAATAAAAAACTTGTCTAAGAATTGTAAAAAACCATCATTTATTAA